TGGCATGTGGTGCTGGGGGATCGAACCGCGGTCCCTGTGCTTTGCCAAGCTTGTTTCAAGTAGGTGCTTTAGACCACTGAGCCATCTCTCCAGCCCCAGCCCCTGTACTCTTGATCTGTGGGAACAGACAAGGGATCTAGTGTTTGTTAGGTCAGGGAATCACCATTAGCAAGTCGTTTCTTCCATTGGTCTATTCATTTCTTCATTTAACAGACATTTCCAAACACCTCCTTTGTGCACAGCCCGTATTAGGTGATGCTAGGGACCCAGAAGTGACCAACACATTCAGGGTCCTGCCCTCCTGGTACTTGTAGCCCAGTGAGGGAGATGGAGCCTAATTAGAGCATTATGTAACATTGGTTGTGGACCATGGCACGAAGAGGAACTGCTGTAGTGTAATGGCCTTTGGTGTTGAGGAGGTGAAGCCTTTTGCTCTGCATCCCCTGTGAGTCAGTTATTCTGTTACATTCCTTAAGCTTTGAGACTTTGCTAGGTGTTCATCGCCTGTGAGCCCCATCACGATAGAGTCAGACCTATCTCAGCCACCTCTCTTCTACCCCAGTGTGACTTGGCCCTGAGGCATGGAGATGGGAACTCAGAACCTGTTACCCAAACAAATGTAGGGTCTGTAGGTGGAAGTGGAGGGCACTGGGGATTGATGTGTCGTCTCTACGTTTGTCTGCCGTTCTTCTCTGGTCCCTGGCAGTGGATGGTGAAGTCACGGGTCATCAGCGATCTCCAAGAGGCCTGCTGGGACATGGTGTCTTCCATGGCTGGGGACATCATCCTGCTGTTGGATTCTGACAATGATGGCATCCGCACCCATGCCATCAAGTTTGTGGAGGGCCTCATTGTCACCCTGTCACCACGCATGGCCGACTCTGAAGTTCCCCGACGCCAGGAACATGATATCAGCCTGGACCGCATCCCTCGCGACCACCCCTATATTCAGTACAGTGAGTGCCGCCCGGCATCATACTGGTGCTGCTTGACTTGACTAGCACTTTCTCGCCTCCCTCCCTCCCTCCCCTGCCTCTTGCCTTGCTTGGCTTTTAGTTCCTGGAGTGCAGTGGTTAGAGACCAGAGTGAGGCTCCATCTGAGGTTTACTACTTCTGTATTGTGAACTAGAGTAAATTGCTTCTATCTGGACTCCATTTCTCTTTTTTTACAGTGGAGCTGACAGCAGTCTTCTCCTGTGGCCCATGGTGAGGTGCCATGAGAATGCAGGGAATAGGCTCCAGGTAGCAGGGTTTTTCGTTTGTTTTATAGGGATTTTTTTTTTTTTTTTTCTGTACTAGGGATTAAACCAAGGCTGTCTCACTGAGGTTTTAATTTAAAAGTAGTACATAAGCACTGCATATTTGTCAGACAATATGGAAAGATATACAGGAATAATCCCTCTCCTCCAGTCCTGCTTTCCAGAGGTAAATATTGTTAAGGGAGTTGTTTCCCTTAGTTCTGTCCCTGTAAGCATGTCGATGTTTATATAAGCATAGTGTCTGCAGTGTGTTCCCTCTTTTGTTTATGAAATGATACCATGCTTCCTATTTTTAGCTGAAAGACTTTAGAGTGTAGTGGCTTGTGTTCAGGTTTCAGCGCTGCTGCTGGGCGGTAGGATTAGCTTCTGTCAAAGCCTGTTTCCTCCTCGCTAAGTTGTGCATTGTTTAAGTCATATTCCTCATTGCTGGGTCAAACTAACTAATAACAACTGCAACTTAAAGGAGGAGAAGTTTATTTTGGATCAGGTTTAAGAAGTTTCTATTCACATCCCCCAGGCTTAAGTACCAAACAGCACGACAGAAGAGCCTGGATGGAGGGAAGCTGCTCGCATCACATCTGAACTTGCTGTGTATCCCATAGTGAACTCACTGTGTAGCCCATCTCACTTATGTGGCCTTGAACTTGTGGCAGCCCTCCTGTGTTAGCCTCCTGAGGGCTAGGATTACAGGCGTGCGCCACTCTGCCTGGCTTTATAGATTGTATTTTATTTACTCTTTCAAATAACACAGAATTCAATGTGTTTTTTTTTTTTTTTTTTAGCATCAAAAAGAGAATTTATTTAACCATTCTCGCTGATAATACAGCAAGTGGGTGAATAATTCATGCTACAGCATGCTGAATGAACTGAAACCAAAAAGTTGGTTGGAAGGAGGCAGAGGAACTTTGTCTTGTAAGAATCAGAATCGAGGGGCTCCATAATCATCTGGCATCCGTTCAATGTTGTATCTGTGATTAGAAATGTACATGATAGGAACTCCAGGGATCTTCCGGATCCTCCGTTTAAGGTCTTGGTCAACTGTGGCCACAATGTAACACTTGTGCTGAGTTACTCTCTGCACCAAGCAGTCGTCTGCGTAGGTCCCTTTATGTGCGCAAGGTAAGCGTTCAAACCGTGGATCCTTGGCGATCCTTAGGGCCACTCGATACTTCTGTCCCAATTTTTCAATTTCTGCCATTACACAATCAGTTATACAAGGGATACACTTGGCATACAGACAGTCCATCATTGATTGTACCAAGTCCAATTTGGCTTTGATGGAAAAGTTGATGAAGTTGGTATCAACCAGGATATGATAAGGTGGGCCCAGCTGTGTATTATACTGGAAGAATAAGCAGGAAGGATGCTGGGGGACTTCTCTTTCCTTTAGAGCACTAGGATCTTTCTTTTCTTTCTTTTTAGGTTTTAATCTATCCTTTTCTTTGAGTCTCTCATCTCTGAGACTAAGCATTCGCTTCATGGTCGCATACTTTGTTTTCTTTTGTTTCCCCATGTCCACGCCGCGGTCCGCTTCTTCCGGAATTGAATTCAATGTGTTTATCACCAGAGTTTTTAAGTGTTAACTCTTAGGGATAGGATTTAGGACACTGTATAAACAAGCTCCGGGGCTGTTGTGTGGATATGTATAGGTGCATGTATGTCAACTTAGTTCATGTAGTTAGTTTCCTATAGTAGGGTATTTTAAGTTATGCTTACTCTTTTTGCTTTTCAAGCTCATGCTTTGAACATCTTCAACTTTTTTTTTTTTTTTTTTTTTTTTGCGGAACCAGGGATTGAACTCAGGCCCTTGTGCTTGCCAGGGAAGCACTTATTCCAGTGAGCCATCTCCCCGGCCCCAACTTGGTTTATATACTCATTAATATTCATGGGATAGGGACTGGGGAGATAACTCAGTAGAATAAATGCTTCCCTGGCAAGCATAAGGGCCTGAGTTCAATCCCCAGTTCTGCCAAAAAAAAAAAAATAATAATAATAATAATAACAATACTCATGGGACTCATCAAATGCTGATATTTTTGCATTTTTCTAGCCATTCACAGATGTCTGAGTACCCAGGTCCCCCCTTTCTTTAGGCCCTAGAAGTTGCTTTTTGTCTCTGTCTCTGTCTCTATCTCTGTCTCCTTCTTCCTCTCCTGAGGTCTGGGAGAAGTTCAGCATTGACTGGCTCTGTTTTTCCTCATCAGATGTGCTGTGGGAAGAAGGCAAGGCAGCCCTGGAGCAGCTGCTCAAGTTCATGGTGCACCCCGCCATCTCCTCCATTAATCTGACCACAGCACTGGGCTCCCTCGCCAATATCGCCCGCCAGAGACCCATGTTCATGTCAGAGGTGATCCAGGCCTATGAAACCCTGCACGGTAGGTTTAGCTCCTCCACTAGCCAGTCTGCCCATTTCTTGAGGAATGGGGAGCTGGGCGGTGCACCCTGAGTGTCAGCCATCGCTCTAACCTGTTGTGGGCAAGCTGTATTATACAGAAACTGGTGTGTGCCAGAACCTGTTCTAGCCTGCCTCTGATACTGACATGTATGGGAGTGAAATGATACCTGCAGTACTTTCTAATATCCCATTTTCTTCTCCAGCTTCTACTAAAAAGGGAAGCCAGATGTTCTAAAATCAGCAAAATATTTGTTAACAAATACATGGAAACTCAATATTTTACTAATTTCGTGCATGGGTGAAAGCTAGAAAGTCAAGTTGAGGTGTGTGGGTAGCGGTTGTGGATTGGTCTGTTGTGTGGTTCTTAGCTTCTCTGTGTTGGCTTTTTGCCTTGTTATCTGGCTCTTTCCTCAGGGTAGCAAAGATGGCCTCCTATAGTTCTAGACTTCCATTCCATCTACTTAGCAACCCCAAGAGAAAGTGTCCCTTTCCCCATCATTCCGCCCAAAGCTGATGCTCATTGTTTTTGATTGGCCAGCAGAGATTAGAGGCTATCTCTGAGCCAATCACAGTGGCTAAGTGAATACTATGTTCTTACTGGCTCTGGGCCTCATTCACCCTTGGATGGAGAATGGAAGGAGGGTGGTTCCCTCAAAGGGGAATGGGAGTGTTGTTGGCTGAAGAACAGAAGGCTAAATTACAGACATCCTCTTTGGTTTCAGAGCAGGGAAGGCTAGCTCATCAAGGTGACCATCCAACACTCTATGTCATTCTGGTGGCAGGGAGACCAGCATGAGAGTTGGTGGAGGTGCAGGTGGCAGTTAATATCTCTCCTTATAAGAAGCACTGGAGTCCAGACCAGAGATGGAGGAACATCAGACTTAATGTTTAATTACACAGAGGCTGACTCTTTCTATTCAAGGGACTTATGCTGGTGGAGGCCTCTTCAGGCCTCCAGCTTGTAAGGGGGAGAGCCGCACAGTGCATGTGAGGCCACAGCAGCTCTCGTAGGATGAGCCTGCAGGACCTCTGCCCAGGTTTGGGGTTGGGGTTGAGTCTCATAGGACCCTGAGATCCATCCCCAGCAGAGCTCCTGCGTCTTTCTTCACAGCCAACCTGCCCCCAACCCTGGCCAAATCTCAGGTAAGCAGTGTGCGCAAGAACCTCAAGTTGCACCTGTTGAGTGTGCTCAAGCACCCAGCCTCCTTGGAGTTCCAGGCCCAGATCACCACGCTGCTGGTGGACCTGGGAACACCTCAGGCTGAGATCGCCCGTAACATGCCCAGCGGCAAGGACGCCCGCAAGAGGCCCCGGGATGACTCAGACTCCACGCTCAAGAAGATGAAACTAGGTGAGTGGAGAGCCGGGCCAGGCCTGGTAGGAGGCGGGGGAGGACTGGGCCTGTTAGAAGTGTGTGGTCACACTGAACTGTGTGCTTTATTTGTATCAGTATTAGATAGTAGGATGACGTGTAATCAGTACTATCGATAATTATTACAGCATAATTTATGTATAGAAATGAATAAAACGTAGTCTTCATCTTATCCCTCTCCCTAAAGGTAACCACTTCTCAACCATGGATGTTTGTTTTCTATCAGAAGTGCTTTATGTATGTAGAGCTCTCCTGTTTGTTGGTGGCACTGGGGATTAAATCCAGAGCCTTCACACTGAGCTACATCCCTGACCTTGTTGGGGTTTTTTGTCATTGTTGTTTTTTGAAGCAGGACTCAAACTTGAGATGTTAGGGGCTGATCTGAGATAGCTCAGTAGAATAAATGCTTGCCTGGCAAGCACAAGAGTCTGAGCTCAATCCCCGGTTCCACCAAAACAAACAAACAAAAAAAGACCTTGAAATCTTGCCTCAGTCTCCAAAGGGCTAGGATTATAGATTTCTTTTCTTTCTTTCTTTCTTTCTTTCTTTTTTTGTTTTTTTTTGCAGAACTGGGGTTAAACTCAGGCCCTTGTGCTTGCCATGGAAGCGCTTATTCCACTGAGCCATCTCCCTGGCCCCTTCTTCTTCTTTTTTTTTTTTTTAAATATATACTTGTTACAGAGTCTCACTCTGGAACTTGTACTGATCCTCCTGTTTTCAGCCTCCCCAGTGCTGGGATTATGGGTATGGGTGGGGCAGCGCTGCCTGTGGTGCCGGGGTCCCTGGGTCCCTGTACTTGCCAAACAGGCACTGCTGAGCTATCTCGCCGGCCCCACCTAACTTGTTTTTTATTAATGGTGGCAACTGAGGCAGCTTTGTTAGCACCAATTTTTTTTTTTTAATGCCACTCATGTTTATAAACAAGGACATATTTTTATGTTAAAGAGGAACTCATTGGGTGTCATGGTGCGCACCTAGAGTCCTAGGACTAGGGAGGCTCATGAGGCAGGAGGGTCACTGAATTCAAAGCCACTGAGCCATCAAGTCTCCAAAAATATATATGCAGAGCACAGGCCTTCATACCATTGATGTGGGCATGTTTTCAGGAGCAGTACCAGGTAAAATTGCTGTGTCAAATGATGTGTACATTTTATTTTATTTATTTTATTTTATTTTATTTTTATTTTTTTGGCAGAACCAGGGATTGAACTCAGGCCCTAGCGCTTGCCAGGCAATCGCTTATTCTACTGAACCATCTCCCCAGCCCAATGTGTACATTTTAAATTGTGCTTTTTCAAATTGCTCTTCTACAAAGCGGTGTGTTTATTTTTTTACACTCTATACCCCTACTAACAACTCTAACCTTTTTAATTTTTGTCAATCATACAGGCAAAAATATACTGTCTTATTAGGTTCAGGTGTTTTTTTGTTTTTTGGGGTTTTCCCCAGCATTTCCCCTAATTGCTAATTAAAGCTGAGCTTTATTTCATAAGCAGAGTTAGTTGTACACATAGGCTTTTATTGTCTTTTTTTTTTTTTTTTTTTGAGATAAGGCCTGGCTTGCCTTGAACTCACTTTGTAGCCCCAACTTCAGCAATCTACCTGCCTCTGCCTCCCAAGTGCAGGGATCACAGGTGTGAGCCACCATGTCTGGACACATAGGCTTTTTGTAACGAATATTGTCTCGGGCTGGGGGTGTGGCTGGATGACAGAGTGCTTGTGTGGCATACGTGAGGCTCTGGCTTTCCCCTCCTGCGCCACAGAATAGCAGTAGTAGTCATAATAGTAATAATGCTATCTTAGGGCCTAGTGGGATCAGCTATTGGGGTGTGGCCTATTCACATCCCAAAAGAGAAGAACTGAGGCTCAGGAAGGGTGGTTGTTGCCATGATGCTTTGATGGCTGGGGTGGGACTGTAGCCTGGCTCCTCACCCCCTGGTCTACTCCTGTTCACCAAGGCTGGTAGAGCCAGGGGACCCCTTGGGCTCCCTGGAAGAGAGGCCTGATGCTGTTTTTAGAGCCTGTGTCTTTTTTTTTTCTTTGTCCCAGAGCCCAACCTTGGGGAAGATGATGAGGATAAGGACTTGGAGCCAGGCCCTTCAGGGACCTCAAAGGCTTCAGCCCAGATCTCAGGCCAGTCAGACACGGACATCACAGCTGAGTTCCTACAGCCTCTGCTGACGCCCGACAATGTGGCCAACCTGGTGAGAACGCTGGAGACAACGTCGCCCATGGTGGGAGATAGGGTTCTTCTGCCTGTCCCTGCTCCTCCACACAGCTGCATGTCCACGCTAGGAGGGGTGATCAGAAGCCACACTTCCCTCAGGACTCTGCTGGTCCTGGCTTCCTTAGGTGGTCACTTGTGATGCCTGTTTGGGTGGTCCCAGTCCCCATCCAAACTCTTCACACCCCTTACTTGCCTCCTCTTCCTATAAAGGGCGCGGGGTCTGCTCACTGGTGAGGCTGGGTACCTGTAATTGTTCTCTGGCCCTTAGGATGCTGCGCCCCACGAGGGCAGCCTCATAGCCTGTCACTCTCATGTCCCCTGAGTTGGCCTGGGTGTGGGACTGTTGCTTCTGGAACTCGTCGTCAAGAGAGGCTCCTGCCTTGGGCACTCCACAGGTTCTTATCAGCATGGTATACCTCCCTGAGACCATGCCCGCCTCCTTCCAAGCCATCTACACTCCTGTGGAGTCAGCAGGCACTGAAGCCCAGATCAAGCATCTGGCTCGGCTGATGGCCACACAGATGACAGCGGCAGGACTGGGTCCAGGTGAGGCCTGGAGCTGGGCTCAAGCACTGGGTTCTCCTTAGTGCCAGGTGCATCCTTGTGGGGTTGCAGAAGGTCACGAGTCATCAGGCATGTAGAGAGCCACAGGCCCCACAGGTAGAATGAATGCTCCATGTTCTCAGGCCCTGGGCTTGGAAAGATGACAGAACTAGGTCTGAGGCCCAGATCGAACCACGCTGCTTCCTTCACTTAATTGCTGAGTGGCTTCCATCAGGTTACCCTCACCTCTAAGCATCTGTTTGTTCTTTTTCAGCAGTACTTCTGAAGTATATGTACAGAGAAAACCACAACTCTAAATTGTATACCTGAGTGAATTCTCATAAAGTAAAAGTACCAGTGTAACCACCACCCAGATTGAGATAAAAGACATTTCCACCATGCTAGAGAGTTCCCTGGATCTGTCCCACTTGTCGCTCAGGGCCCTCACGCCCAGGCATAACCACTGTTCTGAGCCTGGTCTGTGAAAGTACTCTTGGCTTTTCTTGTGCTTCATGGGTATGGGATCCCAGAGGTTGGCCTCTTCTGCTCAACATAAGTTTTTGAGCTTGATCCATGTGAACCTACAATTTATTCTTTATTGCACAGTAGGTTTTTTTTTTTTTTTTTTTTTTTTTGTGATACCAGGGATCGAATGCAGGACATCCTCCATCTTCCTTCACATAACTGTATCGCCATGTTGCCCACCCTCCTGGTGGTGAGCCTCTGGCTGCTTCCCCCTCTTGCCCTTTGTGATGAACGTAGTTGCAGTCTGTTGGGGTGCACCTGCCCTCATCTGTGTTGGGCATGTTCAGTAACAGAGCTGTGGGGTCATAGGGTAGGTGTGATCAGTCGGTAGAACTGCTTGTCAGGTTTCCAAAGTGGCTGCGCCATTTGGTGCTGCCCCCAGCAGTGAATGGCATCTCCAGTTTGAATCTCAGCTGTTTACATTGGAAAACAGGGATAAAGAGAGGACTGCTCCTGACCGGATGGTGCTGGGCACGTTGCATGGGCATTATGTGTACTGGGGGTACTCAGTGGGTTCTGGTGCGGAAGTGGGCAGGTCAGTCTTGCTAGGTAGGGATCCCTTTGCTGCCTCTCTAGGCGTGGAGCAGACCAAACAGTGTAAGGAGGAGCCTAAGGAGGAAAAGGTGGTGAAGTCGGAGAGCGTTCTGATCAAGCGGCGCCTGTCCGCCCAGGGCCAGGCCATCTCAGTGGTGGGCTCTCTGAGCTCCATGTCCCCCCTAGAAGAGGAGGTGCCACAGGCCAAGAGGAGGCCAGAGCCCATCATTCCTGTCACACAGCCCCGGTGAGTGCCCTTCTCGGTGCTGGGATGGGCTGGGGGTCCTGCCTTCCTTGGGGATTTGGTTCTGATTTCACGTGTGCTTGACACATAGACAGAAGGTCTGCATGAGATTCTTCCGGACTCCAGACTCAGCTGTAACTGCCAAGCTTTTGTGGTTTTGTGAAAGTACCCCGTTTATGTCTAAATTTAGGACAGCAGTAACAGCTTCCCTAGGATCAAGGGAGAACTGCGTTAGTCCCTGGTGATGGTCAAGTACCTCAGTTTTCAGGTCACTTTATCACAGTGATTGTGATAAAGCATGCTGCATGATTCTTTTATTGAGTACTGGAAATCAAACTCAGAACCTCACACTTGCCAGGCAGGCGCTTCACTGCTAAACTATATCCCCAGCAGTTTTTATTTTTTGTCTTTTTGAGACAGGGTTTCACAGTGTACTTCAGGCTGGCCTTTTAGCTCCTGTCAGGAGCAGGCAGGTGATCCCCCTGCCTCAGCCTCCTGAATGTTGGTATTACAGGTGTGTGCCACCCTGTGCAGCCAGCCTGATTATTAACCCACTGGCTGGTCCTGTTACTGTTTTTTTTCTTTTCTTTTTTGTTTTTTTGCAGTTCCAGGGATCAAATGCAGGGCCTTGTGCTTGCCAGGCAAGCATTTATGCTGCTGAGCTATATGCCCAGCCTGTTCTTGGTCTTTGTGTCCCTTACAGCCCTTAAATCTCCCAGCCAGACGACTTACTCA